CTCTGACATGCTTTTTCTCTTAATACAAAATATTATTTGTAATTACAAGAGGAATTTGCTAATAAACATGGTTAATAATGAAACATAACTACGCGCAAAATTAGCTTGTTCACAACATTTTTAAAAACACAGTTTTTCTGATACACTGCATTTTAGAGACGTTTGTAAATACCATCAGTATATTTTGACAACTACTTTCTGGAAACAAAGATATCAGGTGCCCTTAAAGAAATGTTCTGAATGCTTTAAAACATCCCAAGGTTTATTTTAATTTGTTTTACTTTTAGCGGGAAGCAAACATGGAAGTGAGGGGGATTATGGAAATAAACCAAGAAGGAGTCACGGCCAGGCATGCCACCCTGGCGCAGCAGGACCCAGGCGGGCCGGAGAGGTGGGCTGGGCAGCGGGCGGGTGCCATGAGCAGCAAGGCCAAGAAACCACCACCCTCTCAAAGGGGCAACTGCTGGCATGACATCCCAAAATGGAGCGATATCAGTGTAAAACCCCCCTGTGGAAACAGTAGTCCAGAATGAAAGGAAATCGGGTACCCCATGCAAGGACTGGCTCAAGCGCAACTACAGGGGATTAAGTATTTTGTTACATTTGCACTGAGAAATTTCACTCTGTTGATAAAACCCTCAGTCCAACCTTTGCAGAGAGGAAATTATCTTTTTGCTCCAAGATACAACAGCATCTAACAAACACATAATGATGTTGAGAATACTCAATGCCCACACAGGCCCAGACAATTTAAAACCAGAAATTTTCTCCTTTGTTCTGCTATGGCTATGATTTTTTTCCCTCTCAACATTTTTAAACATAACAAAGAAAAACAACCATTTCAAAATTTTTCACACGAAGGGGAACGTTACTATATGACATTCTTTTCTAGAAATCTTTTAAGTCTTATTTATTAACAGAATTAATCTGATCATAAGCTGGCTGACACACAAAGTGTTGAAATATGTCATCTTCAAACCATGTTTTGCTAATGAAATGTTGGTGTTAATTCAGGGGATAAAACAGAATCCTAGAATCTGTAATACGAGCCAAACAACAAATGTGGTTCCTCTGGCAAAAAAGCATCATTTTCTCCCTTTTCTGTTGTGGCTTTGTCACTGCGTGCTCTCCATCATCCATTTCTTTCCAGAATCTACTTTTTGATGTGGAGTCCCTACTTGGCCATTAACTTCTACATTAAAATGTTCTGAACATGTTTTGCAGTTCCAATCCCAGGAACTCTTTTGCAGTTTCAAACCTAGAATCCAAAAGGATTTAATAAAAAACAAACAAAAAAAAACAAACAAAAAAAAAACAAACAAAAAAACAAAACAAAAAAACAAAACAAAAAAACAAAACAAAAAAACAAAAAACAACAACAAAAAAAAACCAACCAAGGCTGGGATTTCATAAATAACCTCAAGGTATCTCTACAATGCAATCAACTTTATGCTAGTGCCAAGTCCAGCCAGTAACCACTGCCAAAAGCAGCAGAAAAGTTAGGTAAATGTTCTGACCATTTGACTGTATTGAGCTCCGGGTGGCTGTGGCTAGATTGCTATCAGGATGCAAGAAAGCTAGTTTAAATTTAGCCTTTATAAGTTTACACTACACTTCAATGACCAGCGTAGCTCCTGCACAGACATTCTCATGAGTTCAGCACCCAAACCCTTACTGGAGGGTGTCTTCTGAAATCCCAGTCTAAAGCATCCCAAATGGGTTAACAGACGTGGCAATTTAAGCAGCTCTTCCAAGCATCTGCAGGGCATGAATGTAATTGTGCTCTCAAGTAATGCTACGGTGTAAGCCAATGGTTCCTGATCTTTGCAGTGTCAGCACGTCACAGGAGAGGCCCGGCGCAGAGACCAGGTGAGCTCGGCTGGATTTGCCCCACGCCAGGCCAGCCGCAGCGTCCTTGTACTCTGCTCCAAAGAGCGCACGCCCCGGTAAGTTCAAAGCAAAGAGATCGGCGCGGCACTGACCGGCGAGCTGTGCTGCGGGATCGCGCCCTGTGCCAGCGCTGTCGTGACCCCGACAGGCTCAAACTCAGCGACAGGAGCCGCTCAGTTGTTCCGCGCGCCCTCAGGCCACTGCTGCCGAGGCCCTGCTACCAGGCACTGCAACGCCGTGGCACCCAAACCGGTCACCTTACAAGCCACAAGAAAGGACTGTGATGAGCCAAAATTTTATCCGGATTTTAGGACTTTGATGGCGCAAAGTTTGACTCGCCAGACAAATCGTGGTGTAACACAGAACGCCAAATACTTCGAACATTTGCCTCAAAGTGACCCAAACTGAGGCCATCTACGGCCCAGAAGTGTTGCTCCCATCAGGTTTTCAGGTTGTCAAAAAGTAAAATGTTCTTAAGAGCTTCATTTATTCTTTTTCACTAATGTTTAAGATACTATTTAAAAAAGAATCAAGATTAAGGAGATGGATATGATCGCGAAATAATAATTTAGAAATCTTTAACTAGCAAAGAGAGTCAGGAATTTGAATTAACATCAAAATCATGTATTATGGCATCCACATCTGGATATCACTTTACTGACTAAATCCAAAACTTCTCTGAGAGCCAGTTGGTTTCTGTAAAAAATGTATTTCTCCCTTTGAAAGGAAATAATAATTGGAAGGTCTTACAGGAAGTCACCCAATACGATATAAAGGAAATTGCAATCTGCTCCTCAATGCTAGTTTAAATCAATGTTATATTTAGCAAATGCCCATTTTTTAACGATAGTCTTTTTAATAGCGTATACTATATTAAGTGTCCTCAAAGTCTTATGGTATATTAAGAATTGCTTTGCTTTCAGAATGTTTCTTTAATCATCCCTCAAGGTCTTCAGCTGACCCTAGGTTAGATGTTCCCCATCTCCAGGACATCTAGGATTCCACTTTCACCAAAACCAATTTTTTTTTTTTTGCCCCAGGCTAATAAAAAGCAAAGTATTTCTGGGTATGCTCATCTAGAAGTATTTTTGGTTCCTAAAAATACTAAGTGATTGAATATTAAAAACACCTCTTTCTGTTTCCAGAAGGATACACAGTAGTTTACCTCCCTAAGAATTTTCTGTTTGCATATCTGGCTTTCAGTATATTTCCATTAAATCAGTGGCTTCAAAGGAAGATTTTTTTTTTTAAAAGTACAATATTAATGATACTAAACAAAGTTCAAGAACGCCAAGCATAACAGCTCCTGCAACTTCTTCCCAAATTTGCCCAAATCTTACAAAACATACTCACAGCACCAGTGCTAAAAACTCTCTGGGACACTGCTCAGAAAGCCTGTGCAGAATTCCCTTGTGGTTTTTATGTATTTCATTACACTGTGAGGCAAGAATATAAAAATTAAGTTTATAATAGCTGAACACAGACTTACATAGAGAAGAATTTCATACAACCTGTAATCATTAGTGTTCAAAAACTGTTGTTACTAACAACTGAATTATTTCCACTGAACATAACTTAGTTTAATTGAATCCATAAATTCAACAGTAGCATTTGTACTAGGTGCTAAGAAAAAAGCTGGTAAATGGTTTAAAACATGTTTTTCAAATATACAACTCAAGAAGGTATCATGAGTGATAACTTGAATCAGAGCATATTTCTGATTATTCCACTATCACAGGGTTCCTGTATATCTCGATGGCCACTGGAAAAGTGGAGAACTACAAACAGTACATTTTCCTAAGTGGCAAAAATCTACCTGTACCCCAAAATAAGGTGATTTAACTACGTTCTATTTGCAGAGCCTAGTGATAATAAAAACTACCTCTGGTGATTCAATTTGGATAACAGATTATAGCCAACATTTTTATGGTTATGCTTTTGACAGAAGAGCCTAAATACTGATCAGAAAGAAAATTCTGTTCCTCAACAAACACACAAATAAGTTGGCTATTTTCCTTAAGAAAACCAACCAACCAAACAAAAACATTAAAAAAATGTATGAAAAAAGGAAAAAGAACACTCTAAAGATGATGAGATAGTATCATCAACCTAATTTCATTATGCAAATCATTCAAATATAGAGGACAACATTAACTGTACCATAACAGAGCATCACATAGTTCCAACATGTAAAAAACTTTCAGTGTTTCTTTTCAGCACAAAAAGTTAGAAAACCTGTAGGAGTTCCTTTTTTCATGTGTTTCTTGATTTAACAATGTAATTCTTTGTTTGGTACTACAAAATGTCTTTACAAAGAAAAAAAAGAATTTCTTTCTATACAACTTTTAGTTAAGTGTTTTCGTTGTCAACGCTAGCAGAGGACATAGTTTTAAAAATTTGCCATTGCTCTTTAGTACTCTGAAAGGAAAAATGTTTAAAAAATAATTCTGTTTCCTTCTGCAGGTGGGATTCTCCGCAGCCACTTTGAATCAAGGTGTCAAAGCAGCAAGGAACAGAGTCCAAATATTCAGAACTCGTATCTCTTGATCTATTCTAATAAAAAAAGAAATCTAATAAAAAAAAAAGTTACAAATAACAAATACTTTATCCTGTTCATATTTAGCACAGATTTTGCACATAGTTTTCAATGGAACATAAGAACATACTTTCCTTCATTAGGGCCTTAAACATGAAAATTGAGAATATCTTGTGAAAACCGAGCTGAAGGCCGTGCCACACTGCTGGCTCTCAGGCAGTGCAACTCGGCTCTCCTATTTTTCACCTTTTTTTTTTTCAAGTACTGAAAGCACTGTACAAAGCTCCTGAAAATACGTTAAAAGATCTGAGACAATATGAAAAGAAAGAGAACAAGAAAGTTTCAAGTATTGGACTGAAGTGGATGGATTAGCCTCCCCAGACGTCTTACGCAGGCAGATGATCAGCTAGAGGAAAGAGCCTGAGTCACGAGCTACATCAGAGTCCAGGTCCAGCGAGTGGAAATAGCGAGCGCTGTGTGAACGGGAACGATACCTGCGTCCACCTGCCCACTGCAGAACTTTTAATTACACTCAACCAACCAGTAGCATCAGTGACTAAAATCCCCAGATTACCTTGATTGCTCTATCATTATCTGTAATCAGCTGCTGCTTCTTATCTTCAAACTTGTGTACAACTTCCTGGAGCTGCTGCTCTGCGACAAGCTGCTGCCGGCTGTTCTCCTCTGTCAGAGAGGAAACGGTTGTCTTAAGTTCAGCTATAATCTAAAAAGAAAACAGCATGCTAAATCTCTCATCAGTAAAAGGCATGTATTTTGCATGTTTTTATGCTTGGTACAAGCATGGCACTGGCAAACTCTGCTGTGCAAGCTAAATATTTTAAATTAACATATTACACACTAGCAAGCATGAAATTCCATGCAGAGGAAAAGGAATATGGAAAGTCTGCAAATGACAAAAATTGCTGAACACAAAATATTTGGAAGGGTTTTCCACTATGACATTCCAAAATATTTACTCATGAGAACAAAGCACATCTGTGATCTTCAAAATAGAGCATGTTTCCAGCCTTCCACTGCACTGAAACCAGTACTGCAAATAGTGGTTTTCATTTTCTAGAAGGATACTTTATAGCTTGATACTGCAGAGAAGGAAAAAACCCCAAATTTACATACTGGACTGAAATTTAAACTTGACAGTGAAATTTCTGATCTGCTGAAAAGAGCATATTCCGCTTAGCAATACAGTGGGGACCCGATTCAATGCCCACCACCCTTAAACTAGACCTTTTACATGATTCACCCATGATTTGTTGAAACGTACTTGTTTCACCTTTTTTATCACTGCAGAAAGTCATAATTAAACCCGATCCTTCAAGCATATTTACAGAATTGTATGCTGACATGTAAGTCATCACCCGGCAAAGCACTTAAACACATGGGAGAGTTACGGACTTTAATGTATATATTCAAGTTTAAGGTTAAGCTGCTGTAGCAGCATAATACAGCCTAATTCTAAAAGTATTTCAGCACACAGGCAGTTCATGGAGAGACTACCAGAGTGCTCAGACATGTGTGTTTGCAAGGCCTCCTCATTGGTAGAGAAACATTTAACTATACTAAGGCCACAGTTATTTAGGAAAAAATGGGTGTTTTTAGAACTACTAACGTAATAAGAAATACTCTCCAAATGACAGTACCAGAATCACTGGGGAAGGGGAAAAAGATTGATTAAAACTCTATTGTAAATTTATTTATCTGGTTTACCACCTGAAAACCCCAGAGAATAACAAAAATTATGAGTAAAACCAACAGGATATTTCTGTACTTCTTTTCTGAATCCATATTAATACAGACAATATACTGATCAAAAGGAAGGCTATTTGCTTTTAATGAGATCAGTGGGCCAAAGTTTACAGATTATCTGGATAGGTGTAGCTCTTTAGGCAAAATTAAGCTGTATCACTGATTTTGCAATTTAGATCACCATTTACATGACACACAATTTGCACAAATTTGGCTTTGCTAGGTGTATAACACACCCACTGAGAAAGCAGGAGAAAGTGATGGATCATACAAATTAAGATAACACCTTGAAGCCACACAAGCCTATACCACTTTCTGTCTGTCCCATTTTGTCATTTTTAAAAAAGAAAACAAAATAGCAAACCCTTTAATTTAACACAAAAGTGAGATTTAAAGCTTTAACTGGGTTAAGACCCTGGACTAGCATAGGAGTTCTGAAATGCATACAAGAAAATTTCAGCATGAATTGATGGAGAAAGATCTGCTTTGTGCAGTACTTTTCAGAAAAAAAAAAAAATCTGTTTACTTTGTATAAACTTCAGAGGAAATTTCTTGAAATATCTTCTCTGTGTGGGTGTTAAAAGTGAATGTTCCAAGAGGCCACAGAGAGTAAGATTAGACAGATGTTGTCAGCAACATGACCACAAGAAAAGTTGTAATTGGCCTATTATTAATACTGAGCTACAAAAAAAAAAAAAAAAGCCTACGTTCAAGTAACTTTAGAGATTTGGTTCAAACCCACAAAAGCAAAGAAATTCAGGGTGAAACACTTTTATTGTGCCAAACAGCCTTGCCATATAACATATGTGTTGTGTCTGCCACAGAAGCGCAGGGGAATGCCAGTTCTGGTCACTGGGCCCATCTCTCCCAGTAAAGAGAACAGTATATCAGCGACAGCAATGCCTAGCTTACAAAAAAAACACGTCTCAAAATTTTTCCATTTTGAGACTATTCTACAGGCCAGAAAATGTCAGTCTGACAAAATTTATTGTGACATTTAGGTTAAATAGTTATTACCTTGCACTACGCTACTTAGGTGTTCCCGCTGTAACAATTAAAGCAATTTCCCTCACAGCTTGTTTAAAAATTCAGAAATCCTTAAATTATTCCATCTGTCTTTAACGAATGGACCAAGACCCATTTTTGTATTGACAGTAAACTATGTCTGGCATAGAGAGGCTGACTTTTGATTACACTCACTAGGCATGACAATAGCATCAAAATGACAATGACAAACAGTAAAATAGAGTTAGCAATGAAAGGAATCTGTTTCCTTAAAGTCTGGCACACAATAAATGTTACTTTTTGAGCTTTAACAATTTTCTGCTATTCAGGTTCAGATGCCAAGATAAAAAAATAGGGTTTTTTTTTGTAGTTCATTCCTTCTTTCTTTATAAATAAGGCTCTCAACAAATTAGTAAAAGGCATTTAGGAGAGCATTCTCTCTGATTTATCACAGAATTGTGGAATTGGTGAGGGTGGAAGGGACAAGCTCAAAGCAGGGTCACCCAAAGCTGGTTGCTTAGGATCATGTCCAGTCAGCCTTTGAGTATCTCCAAGTATGGAGACCCCACAACCTCCCTGTATGCAAATAAACGTGCAATAAATACACACTAGGTTTCTAGAAATAGAATGTAAAAATATATTTAACAATGATTCTGATAAGAGCAGTCTCTAAAAATGTGGTGTGAAAAAATGTGATAGTCCAATGAAATTTCACTGAAATAACTAAAGCCAAACTTTTGGACAGGTTTTACAGACACTGAGACTCAAAGGTACCTGAAAAGCTGAAATTGGGAGCTTTAAAGTATTTTAAAGTGCCTGCAATAAAGTTTGCAATTTCTTGTCATTGTCTCACTGATCACCTCTGCCTAGTTTGGAGGCTTCTAAACCATTCTTTGTAGTGTTTTTGTTGATTTTAAAAGAGCATTATTAGACTATTATTACTATTGCTGAAAACACTTTGCAAGTAAAAGGCAGGCATTCTGCTGTGGTTGGGAGGAATGAGAAGAATGACACCTCCACATAAATCCTCATGGCGATTTTCTTATTATCAAAAGCTTAACTTCTGGTTGTATCTCCATCATTTTTCACACTTCAGTACTACCTGTCAATCAAATTGAAAGCTGAAATATTTAAAAATCATCCTGACTTACAATTTATAAGCATATATGTAAATTCAACACACATTTTCATCTTCCATGTTCAAAAGACTAATGTGAAGAACAAAAACTTAAGTCAGAACCGGTTTGCATCCAGGACACATTCGTCAAAGTGTTATTTTGGGCAGAAATGTTGAACTGGCAAGGAGCAACAATAAATATCAAGATGGCACAGCTGGGACTGCTGTCCTGCCATCGACCGCGCGGGCAAACACCACCCTGTGACATGAAATGCAAGTCCTGGTTGTGCAACTGCTGATTTTACAAGATGTGCTGGCTGAGGTGGACCTCGCCTTCCCTTCCCACTGACTAAGGGAGGACTGTCCTCTTGGGTCTTCAGAAGATGAAAAAGCTGAAATTTAGAACTCAAAAAAATCCCACCCATTTTTTCTAGGCAGCTTAACGCTTTGTGTTTTTTGAAAGGTTCAAATCTGCAAGACAGACATTGGGAGTTTGATTTGGGAAGTCATTATGGCTTCTCTTGGTTGTCAAGACCTACACTTAAGAGCAGAAGTCATTCCAGTTTTTGCCAAATTTCCAAACCAAATGGATTCACGTGAGGTTCCTGCCTTCTCGCTACCTACCTGCGAGGATTTTGCCAGCTTCTGACTGTAGTCCTTCTCAGCCTGCTTCATCCGGCTGTTTGCCTGAAACGCACACAAAAGGCAACCAGATTAGCTCCGATGAAGAACGTGTACAGACACTTTTCCACCGACCCCTCTGCTTGGCACCTCATCCACATGCCTATCGCTGAGCGGCTGGGACCCACGCCAACTCCAACGCCCTTTTGTGGCAGCCAAAAAACCACAAGGGCTTGCCTTTGATCTCGGGCCAACTATTCATCACTTAAAAGAGGGGAGAAATTGTACCTCTGCTGCCAATTATTAGAAAAACATCAGACTTCTGTGGATTAAAAAAAAGTGAGTGAGTGTGTGGGGCAGGGGAAGGAGGCAACACACACACGAGTTTATCAGGGTGACTTAGTTTCTGAATGGAGGGAAAAGGCAAGGAGAAAGTCCCACGCACAGGCTGCCAGGGTACAACGCGACATGGAGAACGCAGCTTCATGTCTCAGCTTGGTGTCTGCAACTGCCTTTTGTCCCATTGCACGTCCCTTCCTATTTAAAGGTGGTGATTACACTGAAAATCGACCCGACATGCAGCTGAACCAACCGGGAGCTCTTGGACATACAGCTCTTTCCTTCTCCTAGTATTTTTTTCCCATAACTTAAAGATAAAGAATAAAACAAAGTGAAAAAAAGGCTGCTTTGTCATACTGGAATACAATAAGCCAATATGTCTATAAATCTGGGGAAAAATAGCTCTAAAGATTTTTTCCTCAAATAATTTTATTCCAGAAATAATTCATTAATAACTGAAAAATAAATACAATTGAGTTTCAGGACACATTTTGGATTTGTATTTTTCTTGCAAAGTGCTATGGTATTATACTGCTAGCCCAGCCTCAAAACACTGTCCTCAGATGAACTGCTAAGCGCTTGCGCATTCTTGGCTCTAAAATTTGAGGACAGGTGTCTAAGAAAAATATTTTCTTAGGGGGACAGAGTATTATGAAGCCGTGTTCTGAAGCAAATTTAAGCTGATTAAGTTTTCAAAATCTACCTGACCTAGTGTTCAAATCTTTGATCTGTTTTTCTCAGTTTTACAGCACAGCATCCAGCACACGCTCCTTCAGCCGCCTGTGTGCCAGCGCCTGTTTTGGGGGACCACAGGAGCCATGGGGACCCCCCAAAGCCTCTAAACTCTGCCTGGACCCAGTTGCAAGACTTAAACTCCATTTCTGCAAACACCAGGGATTTCAGTCAAGCAAACAGTGTTATTGATTTTACTGGACTATAAATTTAGAAGCTTAAAGTTGCAGAGAGTGTTTACAAATCACCACGAAGCATGATAGGGCTTGAATCATCCTATGCAATCCAGGCAGTTACGTATGGTGCAGCTTAATGTAAGTATATTGCAGCCAGTTAAAAATAATCTTAAAGTTTACATGATACTGCAATTTAAGATCTTGACTCTCTTAAAATTCCAATATTATGAAACATATGGAGGTCTCCATTTCATCTGTTTGCTGGTACTAAAAAAAATCTACTAAAAATGTAATCAAAAATCAATCATCAAATTTGTGCATAATTTTTGAGAACGCATGTTTTGGTTGTTTTTTGTTATAAACAGAGATAATGGCACTCCATATTGGTTTAAAACAGCATATACAAGAACTCCAGAGCACCAGACAAATTAAATTCCACTGCTTCTACATTTATCATTTAACATGTGCCACAAACACTGTAAGGGCATATTGTGGGGCTGCATAAATAAAAAGAGAGCAGTAACACAGAAGCAGTTATGCCAGACAGCTCTATGCATGCTACACTTCTCTTTGTACTCAGGCTGACCCATGTTAACACTCTTTCCACTGTATTGTCATCTAGTTTCAGATTATGTTTTACCACCACTGCATATCATAAAGGGACTGCAACTGCCAGTTTAGGGGAAAAAGTAAAAAATAAATTACAGTAATAGTATAAATTACTGTTACTCCCAGAAAGGGAGAGATACTACTCAACAAAGCACTGCAAAGAAGATCACATTACAGCTGCTCTCACTCAACTTGCCTGGGGTAAAAGTCTTCATCTTTCATAGAAGCAGCTTTATAACCTCCTGAACCCATAGAATAAATCCCAATAAATAATAAAAAACCCACTCCTAACTTCCATAAACAAATTAGAACTTGTTTGTTCACACTGAGTAGAACCAGGATGACCTATGATAGACATGACAGGGGCAATCCAAAAGAAAAATATGCTCAATTTCATGGCTTTATTCCTAACTGAAGTCAAAGAAAGTATATCCTACTAGTTTATTTAAAGGCAATTACAACATTTTCTTTTATAATGGCTTTAACAAATTCCAATTAGAGAAATATTTATAAGTTGTCTCCCAGTCATCAACAAACCACAAATTCCTGCATTTACTTGCAGTCCCAAACAACCTTAATTGAGGGGTCTCATTTTCAGAAGTATTGAGCTACCAAAACTTCCACTGGAGATGGCAAAACCACATTTAGACCAGCTCTAGCTGCCTGAAACTGCTACCTCAACCCTGTGGCACTAAAAGCTATGGACACCTGCTGACTTCAGCTTTTCTCTCTGGATCCGTAACACCCTGCAGGTCTTGCATCATCACACGCGGCACAGGTAGCACCAGCGAAGCTCTGCAGAAGGCACCTTCTACAAGTTATAGCAGCCTGGCCGGCTGAAAAGGTTTAATTCATGGTAATGCACAGGAACACTCTTTTCCGTTGTCTTCTTTTACTGTAGATATATAAAACTTTTCCCTTTTTAAAACCTGAAACTAAACTAATTTAATACCTCTTGACTATAGGGTGTTGCTTTGCAGCCTAGGGAGGCATAAACTTACTCCCCTGGGGCACATACAGCACTGCCACACACAGGAAAAGCAGCTTTTTTTTTTTTTTTTTTTTTTTTTAAGGAATGACTTATAGCAAAATAAATACGCATAGTGAACATTGCGGAGGATTTATGTTACATTTACCTTGACAAACGAGAAGGTTAAAAATGGCCTGGTGTGCACAAGCAGCGGTTTCCTGGGCTCCTTCTTTTATAACAGGCTGCTTGGCTCATGCACCGTATGAAGCATAAGCTGCTTCTGTATTATTTTAAGGGCATTCCCTCACTTTCAGGTTACATGGCATTTCAGAAACATAATGAATAAGAATCCAAGTGGAAGGTGAACATTTGGAGGGTCAGCCACTATTCATTAAAGTCTAACTCTTTTTATAGCAATGGGCAGCGCTGCAAATATAGTTAATGGTCTTAAACCAGTTTTTCGTGTACGAGAGGTAGCTATTGAAATTCTCGCTTGGCACAAACCTGTCAGGAATATCAATTGTAATATCCATTTTTATAATAAAAAGGTTTAAATTGGATAAGCCATAGAGGAATTCCACTGATTCAAAAATTAACTTCTGTTTAGTTTCACACAGTTAATACATATTTTAGCTAAAATTATCTGATTATGACAATTTTACATGCAGTTATTTTATATTACAGTAAAGACTTTTGTATTAAAAAGATTATATCCTTGTTACAGTTAATTGGTTTTAAAGACCAACTATAATTCTATAACAAGCCTTAAAGCATCATATTGTGGCTGCTGAGCAAAACTGCACTGACTTCAACAAAACATTTCACATAAAAATTAAAAACGGTATTAGCACTACAGATGTGGTATCTGAATTAATGGATGCTGTTCTAACACAGTCTGATTTTCATTTTTTCCTTTCATGAAATGGAACAGCATTAATAAAAATAAAAGAGCAAAGGATCTACAGTGGGACCACACCACAAAAGCACGCCATGTCCTACCCTAATTACAAAGTTTTTATATGTTATTATTAAGGTATGAGATGTATTAGAGGAGACTTTTAGTTCCAGTTCCACTCGATGGACGCAGGCCCTGAACAGCCCCGGGGGCCGCTCACCGGTACAGCCACCGCCGGTGCCGACAGTAGCCCCGTGGGGCTGGCAGGGCCATGGAACAGCTTCATCCCCCAACAACATCCATGGAGGCATTTAGGGCATCTTGAATGTTCATCAAAAATGCAGCTGTTAAGAATTTTTTAGAACTGTACAAATCTGGGTATATCTTCCAGCTTTGGAATGGTGATTTTCGATGGAAAGTTCCATTTCAATTATGCTACAAAATTAATAGGAAAACTAACTTCTGCAACCCAAACATGGATAGATCTGTAGGAGTTAAGGATGCCTTATGAAATCCTGTTCATCTAGATATGATTTGCAGTTTTGTGACCGATTCAGTAGTGTTTCACTTTGATTTCAATCTCCCCAGAACATGAACAAACAACAAAACCCCCACAAACCCAACTCTCAAACTAGACTGTTACATATACACACACCCATATACACTAATAGAAAAGTAGATTTAAGAAATCTGGTGAGGGTACTAACCATGAAATCATTTATCAAAATGCCTACAACTAGCAAAACGATGGCCATACATAAGTTGATCCTCCATTATTAGTTAGATAAAAGTGTAAGCAAACTAAAAAAAAAAGGGAAAAAAAAATCAAAGGGTCAGGGAAGGAGAAGAAAGAAAACTTGCTCCAGGGAAGAAGCAACTGTTCTCTGATGTGCAGCAAAGAATTTAACATCAAAGAACTAATGTAAATGGGTCCCATTTACCTTAAAAAACAACACACCACTCCACATTCTGGAATATTTCTATTTAAGTTTGACAGCATTATGCTTTGTATCAAAATTCAAGATTGTGTAATTTGACAGATGTCAAAAGAAATTGACCTTCAGAACGGCTAACTGTAGTAATTTTTGTTATTAAGTATGTTAAAACACTCTATACACTATCTGTTTAAACTTCAGACATTAGCAGATCACCTTTTAAATTCATCTGACTGTAGATAAAAATTTCACTTTGACCTCAAAGCCTGAAACATGTATTTTCCTTATGTGCCTCTAATACCAACAGTGGGTGACTTCTTACGCCAATACTCTTGTTCTTTCCGCTGCTCTCCCCACCAATCAGATATCAAATGTAAGGCTGAATCTCTGTGCAACAGTGGAAATAGCAT